ATATTTATTGTTATGGTCTTTATGGTAATATAACATTTTAATTAATAGAAATGCCTAATTTGGATATAAATAATAACTTTAATTATATAAATAGTTCCGGAATTACGCAAAGACTATTTTTTTAACATTAAACCAAATAAAAGTTTAATTCTATATATAAAAATAGGTCAATGGTTATTTTTAGCGATGGTTTACTTTTATTTATTCTTTTTTTGCTTTCATCGAGATTTAGAAATTTTTATGAAAATATCCTCATGTTAATTGATAAACGCAAGCAACCTTTGGACTTAATAACGTGAAAAAAAGTTCATTACAACGATCGGCATACACTTTAACATTTAGGGAATAAAAATAAATATCTTTAATTGAATCAAAAAAAAAAAAAAAAAAAAAAAAAAAAAAAAAGAGAAACAAAACAATAGGGGTTCTCACAATATCGACAAGTTCAAAGTGAGAACATATTTGAGGTGCTGCATGTGTTACCATTTGAAAATCAAGTCGTAATATGCATGATGATTTCCAAATGTAATTATTACTCGCCATTGCATGCATATAATAAGTTATCTATCCAAAATCACCACTTACAATTTATGTAAATCACAGACCGCTTTCACGTAGTAATATTCTTTTTCTGATATATCAAACTTATTCAATCCTTTGATCAAAAGTAAAAAGAAAAGAAAAAGTCTTGTTACGTTTCATTATAATACCTTGTTGATACGTGAAACTCGTTGATTAAAAAGAAATTAACACTTTGAATAAATTAAATTTTATTTCCCCATATTTACAATTTTTGATAACAAAATGATTTATAAATGGTAATTGTTGTGTTAATTAAAGTTATGAAATGAATGGTTACTTTCTTGTTTTATCTTTTTGGACACAAATGCTCGGGTTACACGCATAATGTATAAAAATCGGTCCCTCTCATTTTTCAACTCATTTTGACTTATTCAAAGGCATCTTTTTCACCATATATTTTTATTCCATTTTTTTTTTTTTTTCCTCTCTTAACTTTCATTTCAAATAAAAACGTTCAAACTATGGGAGGTAAAATAATTGGAACTAATCCACCACAACAACGTAAACCTAGGCCACCTCCAACAACTGACTCGACGAAACCATCAAGACCACCAGCAACGTCAATAATACCGCCAGAGCTATTTATCACGATATGTGAACCACTTACACCCGATGATTTATTTTCATTGTCGTAAGTTTCTCGTTACTTTAGGAATTTATTATGCTCTACAAATTCATCAGCCACGCAATCCATATGGCGAAAGTCAAGGTTGACCTTCTTATCATATCCTACCTTACTCCACCTCCACCTCCACCTCACGGTTCGGCCTGTCCTGATGACATGGATGAGAGAATTTACATTCTAATGACAAACATAGCTATAAGATGTCAATTTTGTCGTGATCGTAAAAAGCCATCTCAAATCTTTTGATCATTTCAAGTTCGATGTTGTGATGATTGTTTTCACCAACACACCATCAGGTAATTTTGAACTTTTTGATCTCTAAAGAAAAAAAAAAAACAAAAAAAAGAAGGTTTATTAATATGAGTTCTCTACCTTTTTTTCTTTTTTTTTTTCTTTTCAGTGAATATAATTTAATAAAGAATTATAATATGGCAAAGGATGCATTATGTGGACTTCCATACACATCACCTTGTGATTACAAAATATATTGGAAGGATCATATACCGACAGCGCAATCGGATTATTCGTTAGCATTGGAATCCGATTTATTATCGGTTTGGATGATGCAACAAAAGCAAAGTTAGAACGTTACATGAGCTTGATAGAGCGTCATGAATGGGAATTTAAGAATGAAATGACGAAATGGTCGTATCAAACCACATTATCCTTGCAGGAAATACGATTACGCTCAAGTTATATGGCGGAAGAAATCGCTTCTGACATGAACTTGGATCCCGAAAAATTAAAGGATTGGGAGATTTATTGGTATCCTATGGACACGAAGACCGTTAGAAACTTAACCGAAGATGATTGGGACAATTGGAGGGTTGAGGTTGAGACAGAATGTAAAAAGATCAGAAGGAAATCACAGAAATGGTTTAATAGATTTTCTAGAGCTAGTATAACATTGTAAATTTATAAATATAATGACTATCTAATCATATTATAAATACACATAATAATAAATATACATCATTGTACATTTTTGACCAAAAAAATTTCCCACTGGATGTTGCGCAGTGAATTTCGTGTCATACTGAAACTTGTGCCACCGTAAAATCTAACCATCTTTATTTAATGATGGCTTTATTTTGGCCATCAACAAGAAATGTTGAGGTAAAGAAATGAGAATATGATCATGAAGTTTTTAAATTTTTCCCGAGGAACGAACAAATTTTCATTTTCCGATCCAAGGAAACGATTCCATAATTTTCAGCTTTACAAAAAAAAAAAAAA